CACTTCCATTGTTACTTAACACTTCCATTGTTGATGGAAGTGTTAAGCCTTAATCCTGTCTTTCTCTCCCGGGGGGGGAATTTCGAAAAATCCCTTCTTAGTGTGCGTTTTCGTGACGTACCCTAACTGTGTACCAAATTTCAACTTTCAACTCCTAACCGTTTGGGCTCTGCGCTTATTATTATCAATATTATTATTATCATCAACCCGTCTCGATTATATTATAGATACAGAGAACATTAAATGCATTGTTATATGATTATTGATGGTAAATCTAAATGTGCTTAAATGGTATTGCCAATAGTTATGTGAGCGAGCAAAAAACCTCGAATGAAAAAAACTTAAATTGCGGCCACAATAATTTATATTATTATTCATTAGAAAAGGAAAAAAAAAGTGCCGTGACCAGGATTCGAACCTGGGTTATTGCGGCCACAACGCAATGTCCTAACCACTAGACGATCACGGCTACTCCGACACGTCTCTAAACTCTTCTTATTACCTATAAATATCTGAAGTCACTAAAGTGGAACAGCTACAATGAAAAAACTGAAAAATAAGTTCAATGTAAAAAAGTAGTCAAATCTGGAAATATCATTTAAACACACCGTTAATAATTCTATAACAATGCATTTAAATGTTCTCTGTATTCTCAAACATTCTTTCTTCATTCAACTGTACTTTTATTTATTTTAGGAATTATTTTAGTTCAAAATACGGCTATTTTGAAATTCAAAGTGAAAATTCTGTTTAAACTGTGATATCCGTATGTTAACTTATTCGTTTAGAATCTAGATCGAAGTGCTTCCATGCTATAAGAGAACAATAAACCAAGAATAACTGTAATCTGGTTAATATGGCTTTGCTTTTACAGTAGCACATCGATTATCCGACCCCCGATTAACCGTCACCTCGGTAACCGACCGCGTTCTAGTCGGCAAATTCAAATGTCCGCTAGTGATGTGGCGCTACAATAATTGGCTACGTCTTGGCTACTTTAATAGTACTTTTACGTGTTTTAGCTGGCAACACTGGCTACCTATTGTTTAAAAGGCCCTCTGGTGGCGCAAGAAGACGGATTTTATAAAATAAAAAGCAGTTGAAACTGCATTTTTATGAATAAAAATTTGACAAACTATTTATCGTTTTATGACAAGTAAAACTTTTTCGTCGCGTTCGCGGCTTTTAAGTAATGCATAAACCTTCGAGGCGCATTTTAAACATGGTTTGTATACGTAATTTTACATCTGACTTTTCATTTGTATCGTTTAATAATAGCTTTTAAAAGTTTTTAAGTTAAATTAGTGAACAATTTTTATTAATATTATCTGTTGTATTTTTGTTTCTATTTCTAAATTTAAAAAGAAAGATTTTAATCGAGTATTTTTTCAACGATTATAAAAATGTTAATGAAAACATTGATATTTCAAAAAATTTTATTACACAAAATCCTCATTAATTCAAAATTCAAGAGTTGAAATAATTGTGACTTCGAATTATCCGAAATGTATATATGTCAATACAATATGCCAATTGCCAGCTAACTGATGTAATTTTTTTAAGCGAATGGAATACGGCTACGTATACAGAACACTACTTTCATTAATTAATAATAATAACTAAATAGCACGTGTCCCATGAGAACCTCACAGATTGCTAAAGAAGTTTTATGAAAAATTGGACAGAATTCCTCGAAACGTGGCCTAAATTATTTTTAAAGCGGCTTAAAAGGTAGCAAGTCGTCCAAACACAGTAGCCTACAAATATATCATTCTGCTGCTTGTCGAGATTGTAGATAGAAAGGGGTAGTCCATGTGTAAGGTGACACCCGCAAATGTGCTACTGTAAACGCAAAGCCACATTAACCAGATTACAGTTATTCTTGGTTTATTGTTCTCTTATAGCATGGAAGCACTTCGATCTAGATTCTAAACGAATAAGTTAACATACGGATATCACAGTTTAAACAGAATTTTCACTTTGAATTTCAAAATAGCCGTACAGTATTTTGAACTAAACTAATTCCTTAAGAAGCCTGCCTTTTAAGAATTTAAAGCATTAATTAACTACAAGTTCTAATTATTCTTAATTTGCAAATTATTAATAATACTCGTAATAACATTCTGAAAATTAATAGCAGAATAATGTACCAAAATGATCAATCTCCCTACATAACAAAATATGGGCTACATGCGATAACAATTATGTTAGATTAATTTAAATTTTACTAATAATTTATAAAATAATAGAATTTGATTTAGTATGCATGCTGTATATTCATTGTGTTGGAATCAACGATCGAAATTATTGTCTAATGTTATACGACATCGTTACGTACAATACAACGCATTGTGTCGCGATGTTTTGTAAACGTTCTTCCGTTACGTAATAAAAGGTTAGTGGCTCTGTTGACCCCTCGGTGAGCCGTTAGAGACGGTGACCTCGTTTCACTCTCCCCTTTTTAGCGCTGACTTTCATTGAGTCAAGACAGTGTAATCTTTGTGTATTCTTTGTTTCTTTGTTAGATGTGCGACTGTAAAGGCAAAGCCATATTAACCAGATTACAGTTATTCTTGGTCTGTTGTTCTCTTATAGCATGGAAGCACTTCGATCTAGATTCTAAACGAATAAGTTAACATACGGATATCACAGTTTAAACAGAATTTTCACTTTGAATTTCAAAATAGCCGTACAGTATTTTGAACTAAACTAATTCCTTAAGAAGCCTGCCTTTTAAGAATTTAAAGCATTAATTAACTACAAGTTCTAATTATTCTTAATTTGCAAATTATTAATAATACTCGTAATAACATTCTGAAAATTAATAGCAGAATAATGTACCAAAATGATCAATCTCCCTACATAACAAAATATGGGCTACATGCGATAACAATTATGTTAGATTAATTTAAATTTTACTAATAATTTATAAAATAATAGAATTTGATTTAGTATGCATGCTGTATATTCATTGTGTTGGAATCAACGATCGAAATTATTGTCTAATGTTATACGACATCGTTACGTACAATACAACGCATTGTGTCGCGATGTTTTGTAAACGTTCTTCCGTTACGTAATAAAAGGTTAGTGGCTCTGTTGACCCCTCGGTGAGCCGTTAGAGACGGTGACCTCGTTTCACTCTCCCCTTTTTAGCGCTGACTTTCATTGAGTCAAGACAGTGTAATCTTTGTGTATTCTTTGTTTCTTTGTTATATAACCAATTACGCGAGTCTAACTAGTTTTTACTAATCTTTCCGACAAGCAACATCTAGTCTAACACATTGGGTACAATTAAAATTGAATTAAATATGCAATGAAGGAAGAATGTTTGAGAATACAGAGAACATTAAATGCATTGTTATTGAATTATTAGCGGTGTGTTTAAATGATATTTCCAGATTTGACTATCTTCTTATATTGAACTTATCTTTAAATTTTTTTCATTGTAGCTGTTCCACTTTAGTGACTTCAGATATTTATAGGTAATAAGAAGAGTTTAGCGACGTGTCGGAATAGCCGTGATCGTCTAGTGGTTAGGACATTGCGTTGTGGCCGCAATAACCCAGGTTCGAATCCTGGTCACGGCACTTTTTTTTTCTTTTCTAATAAATAATATTAATTTATTAATTTAAATGCTAGTTTTTTATATTGAGTAATTATTTTTAATTTAATCGATAGAAATATGATTTTAAAATTTTAAGATAGCGTTTATAAAATTCATATTTTCCAATTGAAAATCCACTGTTTTAAATATCAAAGAAACAACTTCCATATATATATTTATAGATAAAAACGCATTTAATGTTAAAAATTTGTTTAAGGAATTATTTAAAATCTTGTTCATTACTGATAATTTCTAAAGAAAATGTCTATGCCTTTAAAATTTTACCAAGTAAAAAAAATCCAATTGTTTTTTATACGGGTACATAGTGTACATTCCCAAAATATCCTTGTTATAAAATATTATCCTTGTGGAAAATGGAAGATTGGCCTTGAAAACCAGTAGAAATAATACAATAAACAAATTAATACTGGTATAAGGAATGTCATTAAATAGAATGCAGTACTATTCATTTTATTATAAAGATATGTGCTCAAAAACACATGTACTCGTAGTGTAAAATTTTTAAATATGGGTATTAATCAGAACACTAATGGCCTCTTCGAACTTCATTTTCGTGTTTTCCGATAAGAATTCATTTAAATTTTTAAGAATAAGTGCTTAGGATGTTCTGTCCAAGAATATTGTAAAGAATTAACAATTTTATTTTATTTAAAACTAGTGATAAAGCAAATGAATAAAACTTTAATAAACGTTACTATTTATAATATATTTAGTAAACTTATCATATGGTCTCACGCACGGACACTAATCCTAAGAACCGGAATCCGTTTAAAGTTTAAAAAACTTCACATTTATTTCTTTTATTTACTTATTTTACTATTTTCACCAGTCTATATATTTTTTTTACAATTTTTATCCTTCAACTTTTGAGACTTGACCCTAATTAAAATATTATTAAGGAGACTGAACGACTGGTCCATTAGAGTTGGTGCTCATGCAGGGCCGGCTCGATGGATATGGCAACGAGGCGACGGTTTCAAGATGTGAACTAAGGGCTGAAAAATGAGCAATCAAAAATGTTCAAAAGCAGATAAAATAAATAAAAATAATAAGCCTAATACAGTAAGTCCTGTAAAAGGCCACCGGATAGTGAAGAACGGGGCCCGACATGTCTGGACCGAGTAGAGGGTCCCAGAGCGGTATGCTTCCACCTCGACCGCTCGGCCATCCGTCATTTGTATAAAAACATATGAATTAATTTGTAGACAATTTCTTTTATAGTAATGTGTTTAGTTCATTTTTGTAAATTAATACGTTAGAATTGTTTCATTTTGATACGAAAAAGAAATTAGTACGGCATTCAAAATAAATGTTTTAAAAATTCTCAAATTTGACCGACAGACGGCGTATAGTCATGCTTTCAAGATGGAAGAGGAGTTATCTGTTAACGTTGTCAACTTTTTAAATTTCGAATTTCGTGACTTAAAATCGTTAAAACGTGCTAAAATTGTATCAGAAAAAAATGCTAACAAAATCTGTAAATTACAATCCAAGGTAAATGCCCTGTAATAATACATAATTTTAAAAATTGTAAGTAATTAATTAATGTCTGACAATGTTTATTATTTACAGATAGATTTATCCTCGGAAAAAGTTCCTTCAGAGTTAGCCGATATATCGAGTAAGGCGGAAGAAACAATCACGAAAGCTACCGAATTAAATTCGTACGTGGAACAAATACAGAAAGAGGCCCAGGATCATATTACGGAGGTTAAAAGGATAAAAGATAAATTTTCCGTTCCTCTTTCGGAAATTCAAGAATTGCAGAATGCTCAATGTTATTTAGAATGGGTAATAAGATTAGAAAATATCAGGTATTTATTAACTTCTATTAGCCATTGTTTAAAATATCAAAAAACACATTACCATAAATACACATATAAAGTTAACATGTGTTTTCTCAGACCATTAGTCTGAGAAAGAATTTCATGTATTTGATATTCGCCAAATGCCGAGCAAACGTTCGGCCAGTACCGAGTGGCTTGGGTGATTTCTCTTGATAAAAATTTGGCATTTGCCATTTCTCGTTCTTGTCGGTACATTGCCGAATCTCGGATGAAAGTTTGTAATTCCCGCGGCAGACCAATGCTTGGCGGTCGGCAAATGCCAAATGTGCGGGCCGGCTTAAGATAAGGCTAATATAATACTGTACTAATAGTATATTCGATAAAGTTTTCTTCGTTATTTTCCTGACCACTAGTTTTATATAAAATAAAATTGTTATTTCTTTACAGTTTTGTTGATTACAAAAACATGCAGTAAGATAGCATATGGTTAAAACATCTTAGTCTACAGGGTGGAGAGTTAAAAACTGAAAAAGTTACAAACAAATTATTTTTATATAAAAATACAGTACAGCCTCGTTTATTCGAATCAATTGGGGTTATTCGGATAACTTATTTTTCAGATAACCGATTATGTACGAAAAAATACATTAACCTATCCCGTGTTGAAGTTTTTCTCCGTTGCATGTCGCTTCGCGTTGAATTTTCATCAATGTTAAGCCTAATGTAGACTNAAAGTATTTTGTTCATAGTTCAATTTAATGTGAATGTTTTTTTTTTTAATATCAATTAAGATCTTTCTAATTTAAAGGAATTATTCGTGATATCATTAGAACAGAATGATCTAGTTTAAGACTGTGTGTAAAAATTTTTACACGTTTTTTGTATAAAAATAGAGAATAAAAAAGTGAACAAATTTATTATTTTCGTGAGATTTAATTGTAGAATTATTTAATATCAAGTTCGTTCTATTTAACTGCTTTGTTATACAGATAGTTTCTGACTTGTGACACATTTCCATTTCATCGAACGTAAAAAATAATGGTGATAATAGGGTACGGGATCAAGGTCGCGAATAATACTGTTTACTGTGTATTTTTCTTGTAAACAGTCGTATCGAACAAATAAACGGAAATCAAGATTTTCTTCTGAATAACTGATTAAAATTTGGATTATGATTAAATATTTTATAAGATTTTTTTTTGTATTTAGGACGAATTTCATCGCCGAGTACGAAAGGGACATTAAGAAATAGTATAACTTGTCCGTATTTACAAGAGATTTGAAAGATTAATTCCAATAGAAACAATAAAATATCTTACAAGCTCACAAATTGTATTTTCCTCTTAAATTATGCTACTAATAACACAATACAATTAAAGTTGAACAAATTAAAAATTTCTTAAACACATTTTCTACGTTAAATAATATATTTATTTGATTAGGTAATTATTGATAAATCATTATATTAATTGATGTAGTTCTTTTAAAAAATATAAATCAGAGAAGACACGAATATTTTCTTTCTGGAAAAGAAAAACAATTTCTCAGAGAAGTAATATAATAAAATAAATAATACTATAACTTATATAATTATTATAAATTTACATGGTGGAAATAGAGAACCTAAAGTCTGTAGACATCTAATAATGGGTGACACGAACGGACAACAAATTTTACGGACGATTTCAAAGGCATTTGCGGTAGAATTTTCTTTTGAAAGAGAATGTTCTTCAACTGAAGATATTGTTGAAATGACGTCAACACTTTTAACGTTTAAAGGGACTTTTACGTAAGTTTCTAAAAGGGTTCCTTTGTCCTGATAAGAATTACAATTATCACAAGAACAATTGCATTTTGAACTTTCTCCGCTTTTTGGAGTTTGATTTCCTGTGTCATGTAAATTTATTGATGTTTTAGAAGTTACATTTTTAGAAGAAGATTTTCGAATATTTCTTTTCCCAGATTCTACAAGAAGGGAATCGGGATATTTATTTTCTGAGATAGTTAAGAGAGTACTGTTCGAACTCCCTGGAAAATCCATAACTGGACTGGAATTAGTGGAATTAGAAGGCAATATTTTGTTTTTCTTTGTTACACTGAGCGATTGATTATTTTCAGAAAATGTTGATTCAACTAAAATGATATTAAAATTTTATAAAGTAATAAAATATATTCATTTTTAATGTGATTTACATTAATTAATTACATTGACTTTTGGTATTTTCGTGTGAATTATTTGAATTTCCCTAAAATCAAAAGAAAGATTGTAATTAGAATATACCGATTATTCATTATCGGTATACTGCAAGATTAATTTAAAAATGAAATTGTCCAGGGTAAACAAAATGAATAAATCAATCACACTAACCTTAACAAATGCAAATGCAAATTCCATAACATCTGCTTGGCTTTCGAAGGAAGCTCGAAACAAATTTTGATCTTGATCTTCCCAATAAGCATTATTTTCTCGATCAACCCACGAATGAATTAAATTAGTTTCGTATGTATGATTATCTATTGTGAAATATAATACAATGGCTTGAACAGAACTGTCCCAACCAAATTGCAAAATACTTTCACCAATCAACTATAGATGATGTAGAATATATTTACAATAGACATAAATTCGCAAATACATTATATTGTATTTAAGCATATGTTTTGTAATACTTATTTATACATACCTCGTAAATTTCATTTTCTGGCTTAAAAATATATATTTTTGCAGCTTTTGCGAATTCAGTCATCCTATTTTTACCTTAAATCCAAGAAATAAATTTAAAATAAAATGCGAAAACTATTACTATGAAAAAAACAAAGTCAAAGGAGAATAGTATAATATTAAATTTAACTAAACGAAACGATTGATTAGTCAATAAGAGGCACCAGAATTTTACATTTCGTCTATACTCCTCAGCCAAAATTTTATCCAGGTTTAAGCCAATTGTGGGTTATACCATGCCCATAATAAAAGCGGCTGGTGAAGGAAGGAGGACAGAACATCATGAAAAATTTCTGGTGCCCTCTGTGAATTCTATCCTGGGACTCTCAGAGCAGTAGACTGCGACTTTATCTCTTCAGCCTTTAGAGCGCTTAATCCATTTTTATTACCTTACTGCATGTAATATAAATATCTATACTAATAAATTGTAATCTTGTATTAATATACATTATTTAATTTTTATACATATTTATTTTTGTCGTCTAATTTTCAGGATGGAAGGGATTCGTTTTAACCTTCCGCGTATTTGATTTAAAATAACTTATGTAGATCCGGTTCTATTTATATCGAAAATTATACTGCGGATTTACAAGTGTCAATATAAATGTAACTTATTTATTCATTAATATTCATTAATTCAGTGGCCCTGTGCCCTTGCCACGTCACTTCTATTTATTTACAGTTGCAACAAGTTTAAAATACCAGTCGACCCCCCTATAACACTGTTGATTTTTCCATTTTATACGAATTCCATGTTGTACGAGTCACTTAGATTTTACAAATATGTGAGCCATTCGCAGCCCAGCATACGTATTTGTAAAATCTAAGTGACTCATACAACATGAAATTCATATAAAATGGAATAATCAACAGTGTTATAGGGGGTCGACTTGTACCAGTACAAGTATATAAAGTACAAACATTATAAAAATGTAAGAGAAAGAATTTAGAAAAATGGGTTGCCAAGGGATGGGGTATGCAAGTCAAAAAAGGTTAGGAACCGCTGACTTAAGCAATATTTTAATACTTATATTCAAAATATTTACCTGTTATTTAACACTAAGAAACCGAAAATTCGCAAAGCTTCATGTCAAATAATAACGTTATTGTTAACGTATTATTTGTGGACTAATAAACAATGACAATTTTAATTATTAAAATTTCAGTTGAAAAAAAAGCCAAAATAATTTTAATTTTTTTTATAATTTTTCTTATATTTTTTAATCTTTAAACAGTAAAATCGTTCGCTTGCTTATAACAACAACTTTGAAAATTTGTGATTGACATTAGCTTTAATTTACAATAATTCATGAAAAATCAAAAGCTGACTCTGACTACTCATAGCGGTAGAATGACATCTTACGCCGTAAGATATCATTATTCTACCAAGATTTTCTTCCAAGATTATATTTTAGTATTAATGAATAAGTTTAAATGAAAAATTTCATCTCTCTGATAAAGTAAAAACACGCATAATAAATAAATATCTGAATTCAAACTTAATTTTGAGGATAAATGATTTCAATAAAGAGAGCAAACCTTCATACGTTCTATACGTACACTAACTGACAAATTCACCGAGGGAAATCTAGCAACGAGTTGCTTAACTTTTCCAGCAACGTTAAAAACTGTGTGTGTGGCGCCATCTGTTATAAAAATTCTTCTTAATAAAATATTACAGTCGACTCCCCCTATAACACTGTTGATTATTCCATTTTATATGAATTCCATGTTGTACGAGTCACTTATATTTTACAAATACGTGTGCCAGGCTGTGAACAGCTCCCGTATTTGTAAAATCTAAGTGACTCGTACAACATGGAATTCATATAAAATGGAATAGTCAACAGTGTTATAGGGGGAGTCGACTGTATATTTTTTAACTATTATAAAATAGCAAAAGGCTTAATTTTGAGGGTAGGGATAGGTTCTACAAACAATTGTAAATACTAATAATGAGTAAAATTGTCATTGAGTCCGACTCTACTGGAGATATGACACACGACCCCCTATATCTTCCCATCCCCACCGATTTTTAATCACTAAAATTTAATAGCATCAATTCCCTGATAAACAAACATCTCCCCCGCAAAAGTTCAGAAATTTTCGACAAAAAGCACAGGAGTTATTAAGCTACAGAAGGATGAATAAAATCGTACCCCCATATACAGTCACTAGCATACATACAGTATATACAGGAAAAAAAAAACGAATTTTTTTACATTTCTCAATGTTTCGATGTCCCCAGAGTCCAAAAACGTAAAAATCTTGGGGTGATTTTTTGACCAACACCATACTTTCCCTTTGCTATACAGTATATAACAACCGGGAAAATAAAAATGGCCATAAAAAGTTTTGTTATCTTCAATTGACTCTATGACCCACAAGACGAGTAAAAAGAAAAATAGATCGATGCTATACCGTCAAACTTAACTTTTCTTTGACCTCCTTTAAACCTTTATCACTTTATGAATGATAGATACCATAAGTAGAAACGAAAAGTACTGTACAAGAAATTTTGAAATAAATGTAATAAAATGCATAAACTGTATAAAATTTAATGAAATAAATAGACATTCGCCCTCCCCTTTTCCTCGTCGGACTTGTCATGACTCCCTTCTCCTTTTCCATTGTAATCCTTTCGTTTATAAACAGCCCCATATTTAAAAATTCATATTATTTAATTAATAAATGTGTTTTGATTACTAGCAATCTCTCAAACCCTCCAATAACTAGTGATAACCACGCCCTATAGTATATTCACTGCAACTGATCAGACTAGTTTTTTTATGTTGAACTACTTTTTATATTTTCTCGTCTTAGCTGTTACACTTTAGTGACTTCAGATATTTATAGGTAATAAGAAGAGTTTAGAGACGTGTCGGAGTAGCCGTGATCGTCTAGTGGTTAGGACATTGCGTTGTGGCCGCAATAACCCAGGTTCGAATCCTGGTCACGGCACTTTTTTTTTTTTTTTNCTTCTAATAAATAATATTAATTTATTAATTTAAATGCTAATTTTTTAATATATATACACATACTTTACATCCAATTCTTTTTTACACTGGCACAAACTAAACATTCCCAAAAAGTTCTTGTAATAAAATACTGTCCGTATGAAAGATCGGCCTTAAAACCAGTAGAAATAATAAGAAAAAGTTAATATAAGGGAAGTGATAAAACTACCGGAACAAAATTTGTTGTTCCGATATTCTATTAATTTGATTGCATTATTTATCCTTTTATATACGAATTCAAAGCATTTATTATTATTAATTTGCAGTATAAAATGCATGGCTAATTAATACTCTTAGTAAAATTATGCAAGTTAATAACAGAACAATGTTTAAAAATAAACAACTTCCTTAAATTTCAAAATATAGACCGGAGACCGGAACCCGTCTAAAGTGTAAACAAATTCATTTCTTTTATTTACTTATATAAAAAATTAAATTAAATCGACAATGAAGGAAGAATATTTGAAAACNCACAAACATAAAAAATATTGGAGTAGCCCAAGATATAGCCAAAGATTGCAGTGCCACAGCACTAGTGAAAATTTAAATTTGCTGACTGGAATTCTTTCGGATAACTGACTTTCAGATAAACAACGCTCTACTGTACATTGTAAAAAATACAAAGTGTTAAAGACAATATGAGTACATTATTCTTGTCTTCTCTGTCGTCCTCTTTTGACATTACAGGAACATGATCAACATGGAAGAATCACCTTTCTTTTTAGGCTACTTTCCCCTGCCTATATTTATGCAAATTGGTTTTTTGTATTTTTTACAATATATTTTTATATAAATATATTACATCCTGGATATTTAGAATTTTTCTTTACAATGTAAACAAATTATTTATTTATTGTGGGGGTTTTTTGTTTAATTTTTAGAAGTGTAAAATTTGTTCTAACTAGAAATATTGATTTAAAAAAATTTTTTGCCTTGGAGATTCAGAATTGTTATCTGATAACTTTTTCAATTTTCTGGCATTTTGATTACACAGTAAAACCGTATTAATTTGGAATTTCGTTCTTCATATGGTTTGACCAAAAAAAAATATTATTTTACAAAATCAAAATACAGTAGATTTCCAGAAACTTCTCTCTTGATAACTCAACATTTTGTAAAACTTGTCGTGTCATTTAAAAAACAAAAATACATCTAATTTTTATATCTATAACTTAACATCAGGATCAAATAAGTTATCGTTCTTCACTGACTGCACTTAATAATACCATCAATTCCACGGGTAAACAAAGAATATAACTTTTTTTTTTCCAAGATGCCACTGCAAAACGTTACGAATGTCATTAAGTTGAAAATAGCCACTGAATAGCCAATATTCTTTTTAATTAAAATTTAACTTCAAATGGAAATGGTTACTATTGGTAAGTAGTTAATACATATATGAATTTGCACATATAATACTTTTACAAAAATTTTGCCATTTACACTAGTATCATCACTATGCTGCACTATTATACATTAATCAAATGCTTTAATTTAGAGTAAATTTTTGCATCTTTTATAGTACAGTAATTATTTTATGTTAGATTGTACTGTAGATATTCTTTTGTCTTGAATCTGTTAAAAGATTTTCAATAGATTAATTTGTAGCAATGTATTACAAGTTGTGAATAACCCATCCCAAAATCCACAAAATATGTCATTTTCAGTAATTCGTCATGTTTTGGTCCACATTAAATTGAGTTTTCAGGTCTATTGTATTTGATTCCGCGAAATTGAACAGGTGGAAAGAAAAATTTGGAAAACAGAATAAGTGTTTACCAATCATTTAGACTCAACTAGATTGTAATGGTTAATTTACTGTTTTAAATATCCTGTTTTGACTAATTAATTTTTTTTCTCCTGTTACTTTAACATTTTATACTTTTTTATCCTCTGTTTATTCATTTTTTTTTATTTATTGATTAATAATAGTAATAATTTAAAGTTTTATAGATATATTCATACTATGGTTAAAATTCTAAGTACTATAGTAATTGAAATATTATTAATTACAAATACTTTATTGTAATAAGAAAATTCTTGTTACAGGGGGTTAGCTTTAGAGAATTACAAAAATACAATTATTACTTATTGAAACATATTTTTTTTAAATATCTTGTTACATAAATTTTGCTAAACATAACATATTAATCATTCAATCTACATATCATATTTCGAATTATTTAAAATATGAACAAAAAAGTAATGGATATTATACATCTTATACAATGGAAATTTTTTCTTGATTAGTTCTGAAGTTTTCTTCTTAATTTAAATCAAAAAATCTCTTTTAATTTGAATTTACATTACGCTTCTTCAATCTTTGGACACTCAGTAAAAATATAATAAATGATTTATAAAAATGATTGTAAAGAACAAGTAGAACTTGCATACCCGCTGGCAGAAGAAGTTTAATAAATTTAGTGGTAATTATATCCATTCCAGGAGCTGTTTTCGTTTTTAATTTACGAATTGATATATCCAGTTCTTCGATAGATATTGGAGTATCTAAACTTTCATTGAAAAAAATTTTTTTATATCGGCATAAGGAAGACTATAATTTCTGTAAATCTGTTAAAAAACTAGCCATTTAAAAGAATCTATTTGCATTGATTGATCACAATTGAAACATCGTAATTTCTTAATCGTAGACTTTAAAAGATCATTATTTTTATTTTCTAAGATTTTTGTTGAATTTTTTTATAGTAATTTGATTTCTTAGATTTTAATAAATTGAAATACAAATTATTGGCTTAACGATATTGACTGAATGCCGTTGATGTAGATAATTTTTTTAAACTGAAGTAATGCTTTAATTATTTTCATTCTTAAATTCTTATATCCGGTATAAACTTTCATTATTATTATGTGCAGCAGGCAAGGGACTTAATAATTGAGTCTCAACAATACATAAGTCTTGAATAGGAGTATTTAAATTGATCATATGTCATTGTGGAGTATTCTCAGAAGTAAAATACGGGGTAAAAGAATCCAAGTATACCAGCCCCTCCAACACATAGCTATACATCAAAGAATAATTGCCCAACAGAATAGTATCACCTCGGAGTTTCGGATATTTACCTGCTTTCCTTAACTCGCTTAAAAAAGGAATTAATTGTTTACGTCTTAATCTAGATCTTTTTATGAGATCCTGTGAAATTTGAGTTTCTTTCCATACGTTCGATAGATTTTGCTGTTTCATTTTTATAAAACTCGAATATATATAATCTCTTATTTGGGTATTTTTAATAATTAATTTAATTGTTGGATACTGTGATTTAGTTATTGGAATAATCGCTATTAAATCATCCATTGTAACTTCATGTAATTCTAATGATTCATTAATAAGATTAAACACTTCTAGCTTGGTAGGATTAGTTTTACTGGGATATCTATATAACATTATATTATTTCGATGTTGCACATTAACCATATTATCCATTCAATATTGCATACTTTCATTTTCTATTTTCAAATTAGCAATTTGTTGTTCAAGATTAATTATTTGGCTATTCATTTTTTGATTCTGAACTTTAGTTTCTTGGATACTATTACAAATCTGGACCAAATATTCTTTGATAATAGTCATTTGACTTAATATTCTCGTATTAGAAACATTAATTAATTCAGAAATTTTATTCCATAGTGTTATACTTGATATATCAGATGAATTTTTTCCTGGCAGAGAAGATAAAAAATCAAATGGCTCACCTGATAGTTGTGAACTTAGAAGTGTAGTTTCAGGGTTCAAACCTACGTTTGCTGAAGATGGTTCAGGAGAAGTTCTTTAGACGTGTAAATTGTAATCAGTAATTAACCTGGTATTAGTGGTCGAAACAGTTTCCTTTCTACTAGTTGATTTTGACTTTTGAAGTGGTGGTCTTCCTCTTTTAATTGGCGAGTGTGAAAATCCGACCTTTTTAAGAAAGTTTTTATTAATAACAAGATATGTTTCTTTCATCATCATTTTCGTTGTTTCTCCCGTTCTCACCCTAATATCCGAGGAATAAACCCGGATAGTGAACTGCGTAGTTAGAGTGACATTCGTCGTCCGAAGGTCATCGACGAGGGACCACGATGTCACGTGACCCTCATACGTCGGCAGCGACCGAACGAAAAAAATGACCAAATAAGGTCAGTCATCTCCCTAGGTGATGACGAATTTAACAGTAATTGGTCAAACGATGTCTGCATTGTCGTCACCCATGACGGGGGAGACTGTCATAAATCTGGAGAGCTGTCAAAAGAGTAGCAGATTTTCCCACGCTATAGAGTATATAAAGGGGTCAAATTTTCTACTCCGGGCGCTTGGCTGAGGAGCTAACGCCGAAGAAACCCCTCTGCAAACCTCAAGAGCGATCGTCGCACGATCTTCCAGCACTCTCAGGATCTAAGAAGCTCATAATTGCCGCTCCATGAAAGGTAAAGGACTTTGCTTATTTTCTATTCTCTCCATATACGACGGAATTACTCCTCGGAGAGGTTGATTGAAGAAACCTCCGAAGAACTTCGTCAAGGAAGAACTCTACATATTGGGAGCGACGGAGCGTACACCGTAACCGGACATAGCCGCACGGCCTGAGAAGGACATCACTCCACATAGCCTTCAAAGGACGCCTCAGAATACTAGACGACGATCACAGAGTGTTTTATCAACGCCCTATAACGTGATAACGTTTCCTACAAGGTAAACCCTTGCATTATAATTTGTCTCTCTCCAACGTGAGCTCTCTCTCGAAGTCTAGCGTTAGGTTAGAATAGGTTCTAGAAACATATTTATTTATATCTTAACGCGCGGGTTATATCTATTATCTTATGTATAATTTCTTAGTTGTTTATTAAATGTGTTCGTTAATTTAAACCTGTGTAGTCTTTGACCACACGACTTCCGACTCCTCCCCACTCATATTTTTGCCCTCCTATTGCCATCCGACAACCGAGAGCGGGTCTTCCCGACCCGTGCAGATTAAGTGGTCATTAGGGTTCGACCCAGTGACCCCCTGCTGCTCACAGCGAGCGTTGCATATTAATTATGTTGATAAATTTTCCAACAATTATAATGTTAAGACACAGCCCAAACAAATAAAATTTTAACGTAAAATTATTAAACAGGATACATTCTTTACCTGTATTTGAAGTGAGTAAAAAAACACGCCAGCAGCTTCGGCAGACAGAATGATTAAATATGTATTGTTTAATGAATATACTGATGTGTTACATTGCATTCAATATGAATATATCTGATAAAAAATAAGAAAAATAAAGTTATTTTAAAATATTCCTTTCCAATAAGAATAAAGCCACTGCTATTGAAAATTATATTATTTTTGCACATAACAACAATGCATTAATTGACTTTATATTTTTGATTGAATTGATGTTTTAATTTTCTAATATATCACGTATTAATAATATATTTTAGTTTTTAAATATAAAATAAGTTGTTAAGGTTTAAAAATATTATTCTAATTATTATTATTATTATATTTATAGCAAGTCAATAGAATCAGCATTGGTACAAGGAGCTGACCATGTAGCAGTTACACATTTTTGTGAATTTAAAGATACGTGGAACCACTTACAATCCTCTCAATGTACACACTTAGTTAATTATATTAAACAAACTATTTTGTATTGGCATGATATTCTAAAAGAAAAATTTGGCAGGTTAATATTTTTAATTTTCTAGACATCTCAATAAATGTTTTTTAATAATTATTATTTTGAATAAACAATGTTTAATCATAAAATATGTAAAGCTAAATTATTTTTCTTAACAGTAATTTTGATAAAATCCTTTCTTCAATACCTTGGCCTGCAACTTCTCCATCACTAGTACAACCACCATTGAAATTTAAAGTATTGTTCACCTATTTATTGGAAATACAATTACCGTATCCTTTTGATTTATGATAAACTTATGCATTTTATTATAATGGATTAATTTAATTTTTTATGGATTAATTTAATATTTTATACTTATGAAAAATACATGACAATTTATTTTTTGCAATGTAATTTTAATGTAAAATTTTCTTCAGAACAAAACAATTTCCTTAACAAAATTTAATCAGAGCTAATTTAATCAAAAATAGTGATAATGAGTTTGGATTTGAACCATTATTATTGCCTCTTCAGATGATGATGAGACCATTACAAAAAAGGTTTATTTTTCATTTCACAACAAAAAAACAGACTAATCGACTAGATAAAGTAATTTTTATTAATATTTATATTCTATATTATTTTTGATAATAAAAAAAATTCATTCTTTTCAATTTAATATAAAAAGATCAAAATAAACTGCTTAAAAGAATCATATTTTCTTAGACATTTTTATTTTTTGCAAGGATATCATCAAGCATCAAAAGTAAAATTAATAATATATGTGAAAATTTTATTTGGAACTCTTATCACTTTGTAAAAGGTTGAAAATATTCAAAATAGTATGAAACTGTTAAGCTATTTTAAGCAATTTGTTTGGGCATTTCAAATTACGGTAGAGCATCGATTATCCAAATACTGATCAACTGAAACATCGGTTAACCGAAAGCATTCCAGTCAGCAAATTCAAATTTCTGCTAGGGCTGTGGCATTGCGGCACTCTTCCCCTCCCTGCCAAACTGAACTGTAGAAGTTTAAAGTATTACATTATATAAGGTATGTGTTTGTAAGACGTGATACAAATTATATACAGTACAGTTTTGTGTTTAATATATTTTTTGTAAATGATCAGTTATTTGAACAAACCAAGTCCCGAATTGTTTCAGATAATCGATGCTCTACTGTATATGAAATAAATTAATCTGTGTATATAATTTTAGTTCTTATTAATTATGTATGTTAACTTTCAGCCAGAATGGTATTTGACACAAATATTAATGTGGATTCGTGACCATTTGGAGCTTATAGATCATCTTGTTCAGCCTTTATTAAACTCTGAAAAACTAGAACATATTTATGCAAAGGTTAGTGTATGTTTTTGTTCATTTCTGATGCTTCTAATAACATACTCAATATTTAAACATAAATAATTGTGTTGATCATTTTTATTATGAATTTATTTTAGAATTTTAGTGCATCTTTTATAACTGTTTTATTAATTTGCTGAATAATATTTTTATTATGAGATTTTTAATTATTTTATTGTATATTTTTATTATTTTTTATAAAATATTGCATTAGCAAATTGGAATTGTAAATATTTTTTATATCAAACTCATCTTTCTTTTTTTACTGCAAAAGTTAGCAACATTGTAATGAATAAATTTATTCAGTTTTGGTGTCAGAACACCAAAACTGAATAAATTTATTTATTCCTTTATTTATTCCTGACTTTAAAATTCCTTTACTTTTTATCTTTGAAAAGAATTTGATGTCTTGTATCTGAATACATAAAAATATGTATTATGATTCTATAAAACTCAAGTAACTCTCAAAGTAAAAGTGTTCCATTTAGGTTATTTTGGGTTGTATTAAATTTTACTCATACAAAATTGCTAACATAATCAGTCTCAATATAAATCAATCTATCTTTATATTTATTCTGATCACATATTTTAAGTATGATGATTTGGGTCAGTATCTAGTATACATCTATTTAGAATTATGCATACTTATTTTAACCTATACAAAATAAGTAAGCAAAAAAAAATTGAAACAAAAGAATACAATGATAAATGATTGCATACAAAAATGAATAATAACAAAAATAAAAATTATTTTATTTTTTGTTGTCATTATGATCTGACAAAGATTAATTCTTACCATGCCTTTCAAAATTTTTTGAGATAATTTTGTATTAATTGAACATAATATAATAATAATATCAATTAAGAACTATAATTCTGTAGAACATCTTATTTAATGTTTAGAATTTATAGTTATATAATCCAATTTTTAAACTTGTTTCTTAAATTATCTGTCATTTGAGTTAGATATTCTGTATATTTTAATATTGGTAACACCAAACAATATTAGATCTGATTTGTGAATGATCAGTGTGGTTTAATCTAAATTAATTAATAGCTCTGGAAGCAATGATGGATGGTCTGATTAGTGTAAATGTAATGCATCTGCACTTTAAGTAGGAGTTTTGGGTTTGAGTTTTATTCCATGCCAAATCTTTTCTTCCAGAATATCTAAAATAAAATTAAAATTTAATTTATAATTATTAAATTTATCAAGAGATGGCAGCTTAACTGCCTACCTCTAGCCAAATAGTTTTGTTTTGGGTTATTAAATAGTCTTAATATAGTTCAATAAAAATCCATGAGATTGTTTGGTATTATTAATGTAGTGGATTATGTGTATTATTATATATTTAATATTGGTGTTAGTCTGATGTTTCAATATTTGAAAGCATATATGTATATTGTTCAATCTGTTAGAATAATAATCAAAACAAAAAGAAAATAAAGTACATAATAGATAGTTAATCATTCTCAAATATGTTTTGTCATTACTTGTAATATGTTTACATTTTCATATTAAATTTTATATTTTAATATTTTTGTGTAATCATGTGATTTAAAAAAATTTCTAATTATTGAATTTTGAAAAATGAACTAGTAATTTTTATAATATAATATTTCATGCTTTTTTGTATGTGCTATTTAGATAATTATTAATAAATTAAAATTCTTTCAGGTAGAATTAATGAGAACACTTGTTTATTTGGCCATGAAAAAATTACAGAATGATATGCCAAATTTAGTGTATAATGAACAATTGTTAACTCATACCATTGATGAAGTATTGTTGTTTGAAAAAGAATTACACAATCAAGGATATCCTCAGTCTCTTCCAAGTACCATAAATATATTAAGTAGTGATATTTGTTTCAATCGTTGGCGGAATCTTGAACATAAAAGTATGTTGTAACTTAATTTATTACATTATCTTGTTATTCAGTAATTTTTCAAAAAATAATGTAAATTGATATTTTATTCATATAACATGACTATATAATATAGTCAAACCTTTGATTAATGGCCACTGACAGAAATAAAAAAGTTACTATTGTTGGGAGGTGAGTGAAAATTGCACAAGTGGTATAATTAAAGAAAAATTTTAATTTGTTGTTACTTTTAACATTGTAGAAAATTACAAAAAATTTTTTTCAATAAAAGTCCTCCTCTGATATACAAAGTAACTCTGAAAAAAACATATAGATTGATCTGTTATTGTAGGCTGTGGCTTAAATTAAAATATTTGAAAAAATAGCCCTCAGCTGGTGATGGTAATAATTTCCTTTAAGTTCTTATTAAAAACCATTTAAAAAGTTGTTAATTCTTTGTGTTAAAATTTTTTTATCATCACCACCAGCAGAGGACGCTGTCTATTTTCTATCTTTACATATTTTAACTTAGTTTTTTTTTTTTTTTAATTTTTTCTGCCCTGTGGGTACTAAGAGGACCTTTCTCAGCAAGCCAATTATGGGTTCAGCCAGGCCCACAATGGGACGGCCAGGTGATGAGGGACGGGGCCAACATATCCAGTCAGATCACCCTCAGAAAAATTCCTGGGGATTTTTCAACCTGTCCAGACTCAATCCCAGGTTTCCCAGAGCAGTATGCTGCCACCTTGACTGCTCGGCCATCTGGCCATTTTAACTTAGGTTGTTACCTACAATAAGAAGTCAGTTTATGTTTATGTTTTTAGATGTTCTCTGCTTGCTTGAGAAGAACTTTGTACAAAATGTTTTTGTGATTTTCTTCAATTTTGAATGTAGTTAGTCCTGGATGTTGATATTTTTAAGAAAAATTTATTTTTTACATTTATAGCCAAGTTTATTAACTATGTGAAAAGCCAAAAGTGCTAAACTAGCTGTCTTATTTAATAATGCCTAATTTTGTACAGTGCATTTATTTTCTGCACATTAGTTTGATAGTAGTGGCCATGGGAGTTGAACGTCTCACCACATTTGGAGAATATTTTGAATATATTTTATTCAAAAAGAAACATTTACAAAAAAATTCTCCTGTTTAGAAATAACAAATTGGAAGTTTGACTGTATAAATAAAGCCAAACAATTATTGTTATTGAATTTAAAATGTAAATGAAAATTATGTAAATTTTAATTAATTTATTGCATTTGAAATAAATTACACAGGTATTCCTGATACAACACACCATTCCTACAACATGATTTGAGAATTGGAGACTTCCCCATACAAAACGTCACAATTTTTAAGTGTAAATGCTGATATCTTATGGTTTTTTTATTCAAGCAAGCATGTGTATTGTCTCATATTTTCCCATGGATTTTAGAATATTTAAATTTTAAATGTTGTTTTGTACCTTATGCCCAGTTTTTGTTAATGAGATCTGATTGTACAGTATAGTTCTTCTTCCTTGTCCTAGCTTTCTACTCTATCTTTAACCTATTTGATGTTGAAATTTTTATTTGTTGCCTGTGATGCCATGTTGAATTTTTATCGATATTAAGCCTAAATTTTTTTTTTTTTAAATAATAATCGTGTTTACTGTATCATAAAAAATTATTTTTTTATGTTTCACAAGCAAAATATATATATTGAATAATATGAAAACGAAAAAATTTTATTTTAAAAGTTGGTTTTAATATAAAAATTGTGACGCAAAGCAACATCTAGTATCAAAAACGTTCCAATGTAAACACAGAAATATTCGGGATCGCCCTCGCAGGTCAATGAGGTCAACCCGAAAATTTTCGGGATCAACGTAGGACTGGTTAAACCAGGTGTCACTGTCATTGGTGATAGTGTTCTAAATGAACCCAAAAGACGTTGCTGTGTTTTGTTTTTATAAATTAAAAGTTACTGCATGAAGAGATTACATTTTTAAAGATCTCTTAGGCAAATGCAAGCAAGTGAATATACCAGATTTTATGAAAAAGTACAGAAAAAGCAAGATGTTGTTGAGACTTCAGATTAAGGTCAACAGGAAAACTCGGAAGATGACAATATTTTGCCAAAAAAGAAAACATCCTCATTTAATGGTGTTTAGCAGTGAAGAAAAAAAATCAATATTAATGTGTGATACTTTTGATTGAGATTGTTAGTTAATTTCTGATTGCTTTAATAAACATACTTCTCTTAGTTATGTAAACAAATAGAAAATTTTGGTAACTTTTGGAACCTAACCCTATGTTTTATACTAGTCCTTTGTTTCATATAGCACAGATTTGCATAACAACAGCACTTTTTTGGAACCTAACTACTTATTATACAGGGATATCTACTTATATGATAAATATTTAAACATTGATATGATTTTATGTTTGGTGTCAAAATCTACAAATACAAATAATTGACTTTGAATTACTNGGTGAGACGTCGTTGAAACAAAAAAAGTTATGCATTCCATCACGTACATAAACAGTATCGTAATTCGCCAAGTGCAAATCAGCAAATTCTTAAAATTTTTGTTTATTTTGAACAATCCGGATAATCGAAAATCCGGATAATAGAGGTCCGGATAATCGAGGTTCTACTGTAATTTCAGTAATAAGAGAATGAGTATGTCTTATTTTAAGACTATTTATTATTTTGAAGTTTAATCATTTAAATTGTATCAAATTATTAATAGATATATAGAGGAGAAGGTAGTATTATGGAACCCCAATTACATTTTAGTGAATTGTAAACAAGGTATCATAACTACACCCACATTTTTTGTGCAAAAAGTACTGGTAACTATTAAACTAAATGTTCCTAATTGGATTTTTCGCTAGTGTAACTATAAGTATGGTTTTTGAAGGCTTCTGTACAAAAAGTCAGAAAGTAGGCTTAGAGAAAATTGGGTGGTAATACGGAACCTTACTGTATATTTTCAAAAAATGCTTTAATGTAGCCAAAAATAAATAGGAAAGTACAAAGAATGTTAAATAATTACAAAATTATTTACACCCATGTATTTTATCGCAAAAATGCTTTTATAATAGAAAAATATGACCTCCATCAACAATATATATTCCAGCAGCTCTTTTTCGATATTCTCGGGAAGAATTGACTTTCTACCTAGTGTCTTTTTCACAAATTGCTCCGGACGAATGTCTGCTTGCAAAGAGAGAGTTCAGAGGAGTTGAGTTCTATATTACTGTAAAAGCACCAATGGGGTCCGTATTTCACGCATCGCCATCTTGAATTAACTTATGTCTGTCAAGACCAAAATTTAAAAAATGTGAATATCACACAGATTAATATGTACCCCTAAGTCTCTGGAACGGAATACATGCACCAGTGACCCTACAACTACATGATTTATATTTTAAAAATAATTATATTCACTTAGCATTCAAAACTTGCAAATTTTGAAAAAAAACAAATTTGCTGATTAAATACGGACAACCGTTTAACTGAAGTAAAACGGGTTTTTCCTTTGCTATGGATGTCTGCCTAGTTCAGTTCAGCCACAATCCGCTACAGTTCACATTTATTATCAGTTCGAAATGGAGTGGTTCCATAATACCTGCAGTGTTCCATAATACCACCTTTTTCTCTACTACTAATTCTGTTTATGAAATATTATAGTTAATTTATTTAAGTATCCCATATCTATAAGCAATATCATTTGGCAAACTTTTTTATGTCCAAAGGATCAGTTGAAAACGTTCTCATATTTTTTATCTACTGTTTCAATTAAGCAATTTGTTTGTTTTACATAATAATATATATTTCAGTCAAAATAATATTTTGTACTAAATTTAAAAAATTGATATAAATTTGTTGTGTAATTTGTTTAATTTTTTTCTATTTATAAGTTTATTTGCAAAATAAGAGTACAAGGTCTGTTCAAAAAGTATCGGACCTTTTTTTTTCCGCGTAAACCAATGATGCGCGAGAGGCCTCCTTCGGTGGAGTTGTGGAGGGGACAGTCATGCACAGCCCTGAATTTTTTCCCGCCTGCAGGAAGTGTCAGTCGTTGGCAATCGGCCTATGAGTGAGGTCATGTAGTGCACTCTCGTCAGATTCCACTAAGCTGGAAAATGACTGAACAACGTGAGCAGCGATATTACATCAAATTTTGCCGTAAACCATTCGCAAGATTCAGCAGGCTTTCGGAGACGATCCTCGAGGCCAAAATGCACGGCAGGTCCGCAGCAATATCAAAGGTCATGTTGACAGTTTTTTCGACTCTCGTGGGGTGGTGTGTCGTGAGTACGCACCACAAGGCCAAACCATCGCAAAGGAGTACTACCAGGAGGTCCTTCGTCGTCTTTCCGATACAGTGCGACGCAAACGACCGGATCTGTGGTCGATCAAAACTTGGCAGCTCCATCGTGATAACGCATCCGCCCATTCTGCGCATCTGATTCGGGCTTTCGTCGCCAAACATAACACTCCTGTGGTTCGTCACGCTCCGTACTCTCCCGACATGGCTCCGTGTGACTTTTGGCTATTTCCCAAGCTGAAAATGCCGCTAAAAGGAACCCGAATTTAGTCGAGAGAAGACATCATGCAAAATCCGACGGACTGGCTGATAGCCATTCCAAAAGATGCGTTCCAGCAGTGTTTCCAGCAATGGCAGGAACGCTGGGAGAAGTGTATACATTACCAAGGAGACTACTTTGAAGGGGATTAGGGTTTTGTACATCAAAATCAATAAATTTATTTTTGCCGACCAAAGGTCCGATACTTTTTGAACAGACCTTGTATAAATAAATTACTGAAAAAATAATAATAATTTGTCAAAGTTTAAAAATTATTGTTATTTTTAGGTGCACTTGAGAAGATGGATTTACTATTAAATTCTACTTCAGCATGGAAATTATGTTATCAAGATGGAGAACTTGATGAATTGAAAGTTCCAGAATGTGCAGAAAGTTTTATGACTCTACTTTTAACCATGACTGGTATGTACAATGATTATATCATTTTAATTTCCTGCAAAATTTTCTTAATTATTTATTATTATTAAATTCATAAATACAACTTAGACAAACAAATAAGTTTCTGTTAAATTTTAAAATCTTAAAACTAGATATATAAAAGTTGGATGAACTAACTATAATTGTTATTTAAACAATACAAAGCTCATCTAGTGATTTTTGCGGTTAGATTTAGTTAAATATCGGGTTGTTCGGAAAGTAATTTCGTTTTTTTTCCATGGAAAAAACACAATATTTTTATAATAAATTAAATATTTTATTGAATTATGTATCAACCATTTTGGTCAAATACTTGTTGTCATTTTTTCCGGTAGTAGCATTATTTCACATTCATAAAAGGTTTGATTGTTGCTTAAAACTGATCCAAGTGATTTTTGACATTGTTATTTCAATTAAATGTCTTACAGTTAAAAAAAATTTGTATAGACCGGAACAAGTAATAATCTGAGTGTGCTGGATCTGGTGTCCCATCTAACTTATAACAGTTTCTGACGAGTTACCAAACTTGTGTGAAATTTGACATTATTGTGGTAAAACATGACACCTGTTTTGTTGATCAATTCTGGCCACCTTTTCTGTTTGATGATATTACTCAATTTGTTTACTTGATGACAGTACACTTTTGAATCAATTATTAAATTGTCTGGTAAAAGCTCCAAGAAAAAAAATTACTTTAAAATCCCACCAAAGCGAGCATCTCTCTTCAAGAACATGTGGAACCCATATATCAAGCTTTGAAATGAAACCAATTTGTTTCAAGTAATCATAAATGGTTCAATTTGACAAATTTAATCTCTTAGTGATTTCATGTGTTGTTATTCGGCAGTTTGCTTCAATCAATACCTTTATTTTGTTTTCATTGGTTTCAACTGGCCATCCAGAATGTGGTGCATCTTCAATATTGAAATTGCCAGAACGAAATTTTGTAAATCAGTTTTGGAACTGTCTTTCTCTCAACACGTCTTCTCCATACACATCACACAATTTTTTTCTTGCTTGAACAGCATTCTTACCTTTTCAGTAATAAAAGAGCAAAATATGCTGAAAATGCTGCTTTGGATCTTCCATATATGATGGGGCACAAAAAATAAACAATCAAACAAAATATTTTACAAATAAGCCTTAAAATGCTAGCTGTCAAAATATATTATGATAATATGGTTTAGAATAAAAATGGCGGGAAAAATACGACTAATCCGTCTAATGGTAAAAAAAAAAAATAACTTACTTTCCGAACAACCTAATAGATATAATATTCATAGAAAAAGTTTTGTTCAGTAAGGCTAATAATAATAATTTTATTTTAATCACTTTTATTCAATTTTACTTTTATTTAAATTTTGTTAGTTATAATAACTGATTCTTGAAACTTGTAGGAAATAATTTTAAATGTTTTATTTAAAAATTAAAGTTCATTATATATTTTTTGTAATTAATACTATTATTTTTAGTATGTAATTTGTCTACAAGGACTTGTTTTATTACTAGGACTTATTATACTGGTGACTTTGTTTTGCGATTTAAGAAAACATAAGTCACCAGTATAATAAGTCCTAGTAATAAAATAAGTCCTTGTAAACAAATTGCGTACTAAACATAAGATAAGGACACAAAGGCATATAATTTAATACTATTATTGTTTACATAAAATTGCACAAAAATGAAATATTACAAATTAATTAATATAAATAAAATGTTTACTTTCAAAAAGTTCTTGCTTTTTTTATTTATTTTATTGAGCATCAATTAGATTTTTGTGAAGTTATTTTTCAGAAGTTTCCAATGCCACTGAGCCAACATATCTTTTACCAAAACTGTTCAGCCAAATGCAAACAAAGCCAACAAACTAATTTTCCTCATCTGTAATTTAGTCTTTAAGAGATGCAGAACTGTNTTCTTCCTTACAACAGGTTTGAATTTTTTTTACCGTCTCTTCAAGCATGATGCCAACATTTCCATCCACCATTCAAACACAGAATCCATTTCTCCCTGACTGCATGTTCTCACTCATTTGCATTCTCTTCTAAACTGTTGTACCTACCTACCTATCTTGTAAAGGTTTTGTATGGTAGAGTGTCATTTTCAGAAGCAGTCTGGAGGCTTTTGTAACATTTTTTTAATTGTTTGATCCTGGGTCACTTCAATCTTTAGCCAAAAATGTTGTACATTCTTGACTAACAATTGTTTAAGACAAAAGAACATTGTTTAGGCCAGGGGTGTCCAACCCGCGGCCCGCAGGCCGCATGCGGCCCAATAAACGTGTAAACAAAATCGACAAATGTTTTAATATTTTTATTATTTATTTATTTCAACGGCATAAACTCAAAAAAAGTTTCACAAAGCCATAACATTTATTCATATTTTATTTTTGATTGAAAAGAAAATATTTTCAAATACTTGAATACTTGGAGATGTGTGAATGAGGAAGAATTACTAAATAAAGCTGGAGTTGTGACTCAAAGGATTATAGAATTTGGTCAATATAACAATATAAATATACTGAATTATTTATATTGTTATATTGACCAAATAATAATTTATGGGCCAAATGAATAATAATAATTTATATTGTTAATTTAAATAATACAGTGGTACCTCAGGATACAAAATTAATACGTTCCGAAACTGAGATCGTATCTTGAAAATGTCGTAAGGTGGATCATCTTTTCCTATACGATTACATGTAAAACCAAATAACTCGTTCCAACGCGAAAAACATACTCAAATTAAAGCCAAGTAATACATTAAAAAAAATAACTGTAGTAAGAAAAACAAATGAAAAATGCGAACTAATGTAATGTCGTATGGTGAGTTTTTGTTCGTATCGTGGAGCAAAAATATGTTCGAATTTCATGTCGTATCCTGAAAATTTCGTATGCTGGGGCGTTCGTAACCTGAGGTACCACTGTA